GAGGAGGAAGAGGAGGAGGAGGAGGAGGAGGAGGAGGAGGAGGAGGAGGAGGAGGAGGGGGGGGGGGGGGGAGGGATGAGGAGGAGGAGGAGAGGGGAAAGAGCCGGGGGGGGAGGGGGAGGAGGAGGCAGGAAAGAGGGGCGGAGGACGGAGGAGGGAGGAGGGAGAAGAGGAGGGGGCGGAGGAAGACAGAGGGAGGAAGAGGATGGATGGGGGAAGGTGGGAGGAGGAGGAGGAGGAGGAGGAGGAGGAGGGGGAGGAAGAGGAGGAGGAGGAGGAGGAGGAGGAGGAGGAGAACGAGGACGGGGATGAGGACGAGGAGGAGGAGGAAGAGGAGGAGGAGGAGGACGAGGAGGAGGAGGAGGAGGAAGACGACGAGGGGGAGGAGGAGGAGGACGAGGAGGAGGAGGAGGAGGAGAAAATGGCGTCAGTCCAGCGTAAAAAAAGAAGAGGTCTCGGGCGGGAGCCGTGGCTTTGTCGGGACGGGGGCTGTCGGCAGCGAGCAAGAGCACCGCCTTGCATCAAAAATGGTAGGACGTCTCGAGCGGGAACGTCGTTGTTGCTGGGGGGCGTCGCCGATGAGAAAACAAGTAGCGCGCTTGTCCAAGGTAAAATGGGAGGAAAACTTCAGCGGGAACGCTGGTTTTGTTGAGACGGCTGCTGTCGACGGCAATCAAGAGCAACGCCTTGAACAAAAAAGGTAGGATGTCTCGAGCGGGGGCATTGCTGTTGCTGGGGAGCCGTATTTTGCTGTCCTCCAAACAGCTTGAGAGTGAACTTCGTTTTCAATGAAGATGCCGCCGGCGCCTCGGCGAGAGCGCCAAGGCCAACACTAATATTTGTTTAGTAAGTATCAAACAACAGCAACGACAACAACAACAAAGGCCTTGACCCAACCTTTTCTGCGGCAGGCCTCCTGTCAGATCGCTCGGTGATGGCCCCAGGGGTGGAGAGCGGTCGAAAGCGCAGGGTGCGACAAACCCAGAAATCCGATGTATCGACTCCCTGAACAGGTGTATCTAAGTGTTATATGTGCTTTTTTGAGAATATATTCGGTGGGGTGCTAGATCTGGAATCGGGAGACTCCATTACCTCCCGCTGCCACTTGTTATCATTTGCAAGTGGATTCGTATGACCCGAACAGTGCTTGCATTTCGGGGCTTGAATTTTCTCTCTTAAATAAGTGATAGGGTATTTCGGTTTTGGGCTGGTGCCCGCCCGTGGGCTCCCGTGGGCGCCTCGTGGGCGCCCCGCGTTTGGGGAGTATGCCGAGTTATCGCCTGTTGCCGGCCCTTGGGTTCCTCGTGGGCGTCTCGTTTTTTTTTTGGGGGGGGGGGCATGCCGACGTTTCGCCTGGTGCCCGCCCGTGGGCGCCTCGGGTGCCTCGTGGGCGCCCCCCCGCGATGGAGGGTTATGCGAGGCTTCGTATGGCGTCCGCCAGCGGGCGCCCCGTGGGCTCTCCGCACTGGGGGTCTATGCCAAGGTTTCGCTTTTTCCGCCCGTAGCCTCGCTCTGAGTGGTGTTCCTAATATTTCGCCTGGTGCACGTCTGCGGGCGCTTCACAGGCGCCTCGACTGCGCCCCGCGTTGGGAGGGCGTGCTGAGGTTTGCTTGGCGCCTGGCGCCCGCCCACAGGCGCCACGTGGACGCTCAGAGAGTGTACGCCACGTAAGCCAGTCCACATAGCTTACATCGCATCTTATAGCGTTGTTTTGAAGTGCCCCCTTGGGAACTATCCCACGGGGACCGAACGATGCGATTGATAAATGCACATGTGTGTTTGTATATTTATATGTGTACACATGTCCAAAATGCACAGGAAGAAAATGTGTGAATCCAGGGTTCTGGGAACCAGCACAAGGCCACCCGTTGTTTTTTTGCGGGGGTGAAGGGCCTTGTGTCTGGTTCCCAGAATAGCGAATTTACACATGTTTTCCCCTCGCGGTATTGCGGGTGACGCGTGTCACCCGTTGTTTTTGTGAGGGTGAATGGCCATATGTTGCCCCAGGGTGCGCAGGGGTTGGTCCGTGAGCGCAGCTTGTATCCACGTCATGTTCGCAGGGCGTGGCAGGCGTGGCCTGACGTCACGACGCGGTGCGCAGGATTCCGCCCCTGCGCGCCTCCGCGCGGAGCGCCAGGGCGGTCGCGCGGACGTCCCCGGCAGTCTGGTTTGTTCCGCTTTCCTCTTGACCCACTACAGCGTTGGGATGACTATTTGTTTAACTGTCCCCTTTTTGTTTGATCGTTTAAAAGTTGTAGCCATTAGTTTGCACCGCGTATATTCTATTTTCTAAATAGAGAATAAGACTCTACCCCCCCCGGCTTTATCGATCCCCCTCCCGGGTATGTAATTTGAATATGATTATGACCGCATGTCCATCCGAAATATGAATTTATATTATCCCAGGGGGGCCGGTATCGTTCCCCCTGAGGTTCCCTTGTAAAAAACCATGCGCAGGGGACATTTTTGTGTTCTAACATAGCACTTGTTTCACGAATCCCTTGCAACAAACGGGACGACATGCGCACGCGCGCGTCGTCGTGCGCGCATGCCGAAATCCGTCAAACACACTCGGTGTCGGAAGGATTTCGCAATCTTGTTTCCAAAGAACATACAAACGCACAGCGTTTCGCAACACCCATTTGCTAAAACAATTCACGCGCTAGCCCTTGCGAAATCTTAAGAAAACATTGGCTTTCCAAGATTTTCGCAAGATGCTACCAAGCGGGCTTCACGCGCGCGCGTGTCGAAATCTGTCGATAGCCCTTGCGCGTGCGCCGTCGCGAGAACCCTCTCCAAAAATTGGGACGAAGTGCAGACGCGCGCGTCGTCGCGCGCGTATGCCGACATCCTTCAGAACCCATCGGCTTCGGAAAGATTTCAGAATCGTGTGTCCAAAAAACCTACAAAAACAAAAGGTTTCGCAACACGGGTTTTCAACAAAAGCGTGCGCGCGCGCGCTCTTGCGTCGTCGTCGTCGTCGTCGTCGCCGTCCTCCCTCCTCCCGCGTCGTCGTCGTCGTCGTCGCCTACGTCGTCCTCTGTCTTTCCTCGTGTTCGTCGTCGTCGTCTTCTTTGGCGTCGTGGTCGTTTCTGTCGTCGTTGTCGCCATGGTCGTCCTTCCTCCTCCTCCCTCGTCGTCGTCGTCCGTCGTCGGCGTCTCGTCGTCGCCCCTCCTATTTCGTCGCCGTCGCCGTCGTCGTCGTTGTCGTCGTCGTCGGCTTCCCTCCTCCCTCGTCGTCGGCGTCGCCGTCGGCGTCGCCGTCCTTCCTCCTTCTTCGTCGTTTTCGTTGTCGCCGTCCTCCCTCCTCCCTCGTCGTTGTCGTCGTTGTCGTCGTTCTCGCCGTCGTCGTCCTCCCTCCTCCGTCGTGGTCGTGTTCGTTGGCGACGTCGTCGTCGTCTTCGTCGTCGGCGTCGGCGTCGGCGTCTTCGTCGTCGTCGACGTCGGCGTCGTCGTCGTCGCCGCCGTCGTCGCCGTCGTCGTCGTCGTCGCCGCCGTCGTCCGCATCATGCGTGTTGCCAGACAAGTTGCGGGTGGGAGGGTGGGATGTTTGCGCGAGCAGTGGAGGTGGCCAAGCGCGGTGCAGGGTAGTCAGTTGCATCTCGTGGTTTGTACCACCGAGCTCGCACCACACAGCCTTCACCACGCAGGTTGCATTACACACGTTGCACCACATAGCTTACACCACCACGCAGGTTGCAACATGTTGATTGCACCAATTCTTGCGCCACATTGATGTCAATAGTTTAGCTTGCCCCGCAGAGCTTGCACAACACGGGTGCGCTGCATAGGTTGCGCCACACACCCTCATTGCATAGTCTGCACCACGTAGCTTACACATCCACACTGCAATATGTTATTGTGCCACGCTGGCCAACTGTATGGCGTTCGTAATCACATTCGCGTTCACATGCGGGTTTGGTTGGGCTTGGGCGTTCTAGTCGCTGTCGTAGTCGTAGCAGCATTATTAGGAGTAGTCGCTATTGAAATGTTTAGCCCCATGCGTGCTATTCGGGTGGTCCGTTGATGGCTATATTTGCGCTTACGGGCGGTAGTAGTAGTAGTAGTTGTAGCGTTGGAAGTTGTAGTAGTCGTGGTCGTAGTCGTCGTAGTAGCAGTATTAGTACGTAGCGGTAGCAGTAAAAGTTGGAGTAGTGGTGCCAGTCGACGTAGTAGTAATAGTACTAGTGGTCGTACGAGTACTAGTAGTAGTAGTAGTAGTAGTAGTAGTAGTAGTCGTAGTCGTAGTCGTAGTCGTAGTCGTAGTCGTAGTCGTAGTCGTAGTCGTAGTCGTAGTAGTAGTAGTAGTAGTAGTAGTAGTAGTAGCAGTAGTAGCAGTAGCAGTAGTAGTAGTAGTAGTAGTAGTAGTAGCAGTAGTAGCAGTAGCAGTAGTAGTAGTAGTAGTAGTAGTAGTAGTAGTAGTAGTAGCAGTAGTAGTAGTAGTAGTAGTCGTAGTCGTAAGATTAGTAGTGGTAGTAATCGTAGTAGTCGCAGCATTGGCAGCATCAGTAGCCGTAGTAGTAGCATAAGTAGTTGAAGTAGCCGTGGTAGTAGTAGTAGTACTAGTCGCAGCAACAGTAGTAGTAGTAGTAGTGGTAGTCGTAGTCGCATTCGTAGAAGCCGTAGTAGTAGTAGTAGTAGTAGTAGTAGTAGTAGTAGTAGTAGTGGTAGTGGTAGTAGTAGTACTAGTACTAGTACTAGTACTAGTAGTAATAGTAGCAGTGGAAGTCGTAGTATTAGTTGTAGCAGTTGTAGTATTAGTAGTAATCGTAGTGGTAGTAGTAGTAGTAGTAGTAGTAGTAGTAGTAGTAGTAGTAGCAGTAGTAGTAGTAGTAGTAGTCGTAGTAGTAGTAGTAGTAGTAGTAGTAGTAGTAGTAGTAGTAGTAGTAGTAATAGTAGTAGTAGTAGTAGTAGTAGTAGTAGTAGTAGGACTGCACAGGAGCACAGGAGCAACAAATAACATAAGAACAGGAGAGCTGCGCACCCGCACGATCCCCGAT